TTTATTATCATTAGTTGAATATTGAAGGTTATTGAAGATGATAAAATCCAAATGCTGCTCCATTGCAATGCTTTGATAATTATTTTGTATGCTCTTTTATCCTTTTTATGTGCTGTGTTTTGGGTTATTTCCTGGTAAGGCCCTTCAAAACAAATTCTAGATTTCAATAAATTACCATACAAGCACAATATATAAGTGCAATGGTGGGATATTCGCGAAATATCCCAAAACACAGCACATAGAAAGGATAAAAGAGCAACCTAAGAAAAGGCTCCAAAATCATCCTTAATTACCATTGTAAAGCAATAAATATCAGACATAGAAAAGTTATTTCAGCAATTCATAGTCTTTTTCTAGAAGATCGACACCAGGAATACAAAAGAAACAGAAAAGAATGTACCAATAAGGAACCTAAAGTAATAAATATATCAAGGCGAATTTTAAACGATGATGAGATAAGCTTTTTGAGAAAAAGGTATGAAATGTTGTTGTCCTATTTCTAAACCAAATGTATAAAACGGGCTCAAAACTGATGTTTCACAATTTTGTCGCAGATTAAGGATAAATGATGCTGATAACAGTAAACATGAAACTAAACCTTAAGTTCGAAATTGATGTAGTTGGAATCCGCAAAAGGAAATAATCGTTTTGTGTAAACAAACCGAAAGTAATGCCTCGCATAAGCAACGTACACTAATAGATTCACTAGCGAGCAATAGATCTAGTGTCATCAAGGAAGCCGATAACGGTGGCGCAGTAGTTATAATATGGACGGCGATTTTTGTTGCGAAAATATTTCAGAAATGATATCTGATCAAAAGTTCTAATGTGAAAGTGAGAAAAGTGTGTATAATTAAACATGGATAAATTATTGCAACAGTTTATTTTTATGAAGAAAAGGATTATTTGACATTTTTGAAAGTATGACTTGCTTCTTTTACCGTCTCCCTAACACTTACAAAAGTTCTAGCATAGCAGAAGCTGTTAAACAGCAGAACTCTGATGTCAGAGGTGTCCAAACGATTTGAAATTCAGACCACGTGTATATGGACCTCGTGGTGTCACATGACATTAAAGTAATTTTAGATTTGGTTTTAAAACCTTTTTTTTTTCAATCAGTCAAGAGTTATATCATGGATGACTTTGATTTCCTAACTCATTTACCAAAGTCGATCCTTCCTGGTTTTAAATTAGTATCATTTGGTGTTGTAAATGAGGTAGTGAAGCTACAAAATATTAGCTGTTACGTAAATATCCTACAAAAAAAACTGCTTCAACATTTAAAGATAATTTATTTGAAAATTCTTTGGACATAATGCTCAAAAGAGATGTTTTATATTTTAATAAAGTTTTTTTTCTATCCATTCACTTGAACTCACGTCTTCCAGGTGGATGTTTACCATAGACTTCAGGTTACAAACAAATCGAGGGGATATGCTATAACATGAGCATATTTCATAAGGGATAACTGGTTTTTTTTAATGTTTTTTTTTTATACTATAGTATTGTTTTATAGTGACTGTTTATCTGTCTGTTATATGTTGTGATATGTAAACGTTCATGTTTCTGTCTTGAAAAAGGGGCGGATTACCTTGACAATTTGACAAGTGCGTTTGCCTGCAATGTCGTTATTACTTTGCTTATGTATCTATTTAAGTACTACGTATCCAACGAACATTTGTTTGTTTGGACCCAGTGCCGATATTGGATCCTCCTGTTGTAATTACTAATGATACCTATATATATTTGTAGATGTACGTATGCATTTATATTACACGAAAAGGTCTAGAGGTAGTAAATATCGCGGTTATGGCACAGTAGCAGCCGTGAAGCCCAAAACGCTTCACAATATCCTTGCACGCCCTAAGGAAGGAGCACCAAAAGTAACCGTGGAACTGTGACGCTTCCTATATCAGAAAAAACAGTCATCAATATGACGCCAAATGTGCCTGTTATGCTGCACAAATCTGCATGTATCTGTTTTTGCGACATCTGTAAAGCACACCATGCTTTAATATACAATCGTATTTCTTCATTTAAGCATTGAAATGTAGCCGCTAGTCTAGTCTCATAGGAGTGCATACAATTCAACAATGAATAATTTATTCAATTCTTGTCGAATAATGTGCATTGTTTTTTCAATGCTCTTGCAGTCTAAAGCGCTTAATTATATTATTGTCAGTTTTATGGGTGCTGTGTAGTGACGCTTTGTATCGAATGGCCCTCGTACTGTTATTACACAATGTTAGAGACTGACTAGTATTGGGTTCACCTTAATACAAAGGCAGGGTATCGCTGGGGTAGTTTAGTTTGCAAATGAGGACTATGTGCGATCAATTTTCGGTTTAGGTATCTATACTGTACATTATACTTAATTTAATCAAATATAAAAATTGCCCCCAAAAACCAACGCTTTCAGCCTCGTTGGAACGCATACGCTAGTAATTGAACCAATCAACATCACTATCACAAGATTACATATTCCCATATATACATCTGTGGCTTGCTCCATATCTTAACTCCTGTATGAGTTTTTAAATTTAAAATTACCTCGCCCGCAGGTATGAATTATTAAATTATATCATGGTATTGAAATATATGCTAGCTTTAAATGTATTAGTGTCAACTACACTTGTGTCTCAGCTTCGAATGTATAATATTCAACTTTTGTCCTCCAAAACTGAAGTAAATAGGTTGGATGGTTGTACGATTAAGGTAAGAGAGTGTTTACATAACTTTTTGGAAGATAGATCTAACGAAATCCAGCTGCGAGGAGTGGAAGATATAAAGGAGGAGTTGTAAGAGAAAGTCCAAATAGGGGAACTCGTTTCGATGATCTGGAGTTAACTTGTTGTGCCTTTTATATAAAAACTTGAGTTTTCTACGGTTTCAAAGATTTGAAAGAGTTTCTAAACCTGTTTCAGAATGTAAATCTACGATTCGGGCATATGACGGAAGGCTGATATAATACTGTTGCGGGTTGGTTCAGGGTGACTTATTAACTAAAACATAGGCCTAATAAAACAATTATTATCAAAATGCTCCTGCTGCAATATGAGCAGCTTCTCTTTGGGCTGTCTGTGACTTTTCAACATTCCATAGTTCACACGCATATTCTAAAACGGGTAAAACATATTATTTCTATATATTTCAAAAGACGATTTCAATTAAGCAAATATTTCAATGTTCGTGAGACGTTACTTTTAACAGAGACGTGTATATCATATGTAATATATACGTCTCTGATTTTAATCATAAAGCTACGACTGTCATCCTCATTTTTTTCGAAGTAGACAACCCAATCTTTTTATTTATGCTGAATCCCAGCTGGTAGAAAGTGTTCATCTTTTACGATGTAAACGCTGAGAAAGTTACCACAATACACTAAGCATGTCATTATAAATTGATACTGAAAACATTAACTGTCCATGGCTAAATTATTAAAAATATTTTAGATCACTAGAGAATTGGTTATACCTGGTTTAATACAACAATTTTGACTCAATATTGTTATGTACAATATAGAGATTCCTCGCAAAAGATGTATGTTAGAATGAACAAGGATGATCATGAGCTACGTTTCGAGTATCTTGACCAATTGAATGATTAAAAGATAAAATTGTTTTTGTAAATTTATAATGTACGTCTGTAGAATGTCACTTAATGTTTGAACACAGATAAAGTTGGCGATGAGCATCATCATATTACACAGTGTGCTATAAATTCGAAAGAGAGAGAGAGAGAGAGAGAGAGAGAGAGAGAGAG